TCAGATAATTCTTGGACTAAACTTGGGTAATCAATTTTCCTTATGGTGGCTTTAGCTAGACTTCTTTTAATTTTAGCCTCTAACACAAATATAATCGGCGCATGATCAGTTATGAGCGAATCGAGAATAAAGGTTTTAGAGCATCGGTTTGATCTTAGCATAACGTGATCAAGACAGCTACTTATACGCGTTGGAGTAACATGTGTTGGAAACAGACCATGAGATGCCATTAGGTCAATGTAGTTATCACAATTTGGATCAGAGCTATCGGAAGCTATATTTATATTAATATCTCCAATTAAGATAACTGATCTAGCAGATGCCAATGAACTCAAACAATTTTCAAGACTATTGCAAAAGTTATCAATATTGTTGTATGATGGTGATCTGTACACAGCTATAATCGCAATTTCATCCCCAAATCTTAAAATAAGACTATTACAGTCCTTTAATTCAGTCTCTAATGAAGTTCTATGCTTAATTTCGGACTTGACAAAAATTACAACTCCATCGTTCTGATTGCGGTATCCTGAAGCATAAGATATATATCCAGGTATTTCTGGAACGTTTAACAGTTTACTCAACCAGCATTCAGTTAAAACGAGGACATCGCATTGGAAAGAGATTCTATGTAATAAAAGATTAAATGCGTCAAAGTTACATGATAGACTCCGTATATTCATGTGCATAACTGAAATAGATCCTTGTAATAAATCTATGTGATTAATAAGAGATTCGGGACTACACACCATAAATTGAGATATTTCAAGAAAATCAATGTCATCAGAGATATCCGTTATTGGATCGCCTTTTAAAAATACTAGTAATCAGTTGTGTAGAACCGGATACGTAATAGTTCCCCCATTTAAGTATGAATGTTTCTGCGACAACTAAAGATTCTATGAATATCATATCTAATTTGTATAAGGTGTATGTGGTAACCTTGTTCACAAAGAGCGTTACAAATTGTGGCATCGAATAATAACTGTACATACTATAAAAAAATAAAATTGTGTAAAGAACTAAGTAAATATGCAAAAAATAAAAATTAATGTAAAAAAGTATTTTCAAATATGATAAAGAATTACCAAAGAAAAACTGGAGCATTAAATTTTGGTAGACAGGTAGTCACTTGTCTTGAGTTTGGAGCAGTTTCTGTAAATCAGACTCCATGTCAATTCGACGGCATGGAGCACCCTCCTTCTTACGTAGGAACACCTTCCCATGTGCAGTCCAGCAGTAAGCATAGTTGTGGTTTTTACTAAATTCTCGTGCCAAGAAGTAAAGTTTCCTAGCCGACTGGGTGAGACTCTCTGATATAAAAACTGGTTTCGGTTCGCCATCTATTTTAAGGTCGCCAGTATTGAGTTTATTGTCCTTTTTTGACTTGTTGTAGGCCTTAATCGAAGTTAATATATTTTCTTTTAGCGTAATTGTTGTGAGGTCTACAATAATTGGCTGATTATTTTCTTTTTTGGTTTTAAGGCGAAAGACGTCGCGGATCTGTAATTCTTCCACACAGACATTGACAGATTCTCCAACCTTTTTAACTAGTTGCACCAGATCTTGCTTTGATTCCTTTTTATGTATAGGAATGTTTCTTATCTCAATGCTGGCTTGCCTTTGCGACCTCTCTAAATTTTCTACCTTTTGTTCTAGACTTTGAATAAAGGCTAAATGGGATTTCCTATCTACCTCCATTTTGGCCAATTTGTTTTTCATATCTTCATATTGTTTTGATATGAAGTCCATGGATTCTTTGATGTCAGTGTTTTGCTTCTTAATATCTTTAATGCTTTCCTGTATTGTATCTTGCTGCTTAGTTAAAATTCCAATGGATTTCCTCATTTCCACCATGAAAGAAGCTAGTTCGTCATCATACTGACGTTTACGGGGTCGATTTCTATTCCGATTGTTCACATTGGAGCTTTCATTATCTGTATCAGTAGGTGGAGCAGAGCTTTGATTTGCATCAGATTCAAGGACCTGCAGCAAGGATGCTTCCTGTTTCGGAGTAGACGGTGGTGTTCTTTTTAATGGCATTTTTTTTCTTTTAAACGCTTCCGCCTATGAATCAGGGCAAGCGACTCTTGTGACGTACACGTACGTAGTTGGAGTGACGTCGGTGAAGCGAATCTGGATCGTTCTGCTTGTCTCCACTGTTGGTGTCTCTTTCATACCCGTTCCGAACTACTGCGTATCACCCGAAAGTTATGCAGTCCCAGTACTTTGCCGAAAACTATTTGGTCGGAATTTAATTTATCAAAAATATTTATAAGATTACGAGGAACACGTCTAATCGCTTTCGCTGTCCAGATGGAAGGCAATTGGAAGGCAAAGTTGCGAGATGTCTGATACTTTGGGCGCTAAACCATCTTCCAAGCATGGAACATTATGGTAAATCCTTCTTAGTGTGTCATGCTTGTGATGAAGATGATTCTACAAAAGTATAAATATTCTGTTCAAGGTACATATACCGCGGGGCTTAGTGAGAAGATTGCAAGGCTACAACATCGCGAGACTCAGTATCGAATCCTGGCCACAAACAAAAATTGAGTTTTTTTCGTTAGAATAAGTGTAACAAACGAGTATATAGTCCACCTAAAGGAAAGAATGTTGTAACTCATATACACTTTACACTCTATCTATCTTTATCTTGATTAAGAATCAAAATGCATGTTTTATTACACCGGAGGATAATGGCGTGTTCCAACGTATAGATACCTCGTTAACAGTAAGGTATGTGGTATCAGTTATTTAGTATGAGAAAACCCGCCAGTATTATCACAGTTTAAAGAGCTAACATTTGTGAAACGCCTTTGATGTGAGGCGATGCCGCCGCCCGCGTGGGTATTTACAATTTACGCCGTCGTGTCGTCGCAAATATGCTAGGGGTTATCACGAAATTGGAAATAAAATAATGTTGGTTATTATAATACTCATTATCAATTATTAATATTACGTACATACTTATAAGTTAAAAACATTTATTGAACAAGATACATTTACAAGTGTTACACTGCCAAATATTTTCGTGACACGTTCTTTTTATAGAAGTTTTCAGATTTCGATTGTTCAATTTAATTATTCATGTGAAGCATTATCAAAAAAATGTGGGAAACAAAAGCATGACCGTTTTTTGAATCAACTTTACATAGTAACTCATATAATTATGACAGTAATTAACCATTATAGATGTTATATTTATCGAAAAAGGCACGTAAAATTAGTTAAATAAGTACTAAAAAACACGCTCGCGGCAACCGCATTTATTATACAGCAGACTTAGTAGAGTGCGCTAGCACACGGTCGCGCCCCCTGCCCCACAAGGCCCCCGCCGTTACGCTGCACAAGTATATTTATTATTTATTCTATTTCACGATGAAGTTTTGAATTTTGTTGTTGTTAGCCGTACATTGTGTTAGTGTGCGTAGGCCTCCGGAGTGCTACTGAGGCTGAGGCCAACGCACACTCACACAATGTGTGTGTGCACGGCTAACAACAATCAAAGCTAAAACTTTATCGTGAAATAGAACAACTTATATACTCGATTCACAATTGTTAGACTTTCTTTAAACTGTGGTATTATGCTGTGATTTTATTACTAGCGATCCGCCTGCAAGGTTCAAATATAGCTAAGGACCACTCAGGTGACCTCGTAAATACCCCATAAAACTTCATCGAAATCGATTGAGCCGTTTAGGGGGAGAAGAATTACAAACACACGCACACCTGAATTTTATATATAGAGATGTGTGAGTTTGGTACTTCCCCGGTCGAGCAGACTCGTTCATGCTACTGTCATAATTATAATGTCCTGCAGACCGAATTCCGGTCACGGCGGCCAGTCTCAACAGAGACTAGCAAAGAGAGGAAAGCTCCCGCCGGTTCTGGAGGACCGAGAGGTGGAGACAAGGGAGAAACTTACCGAACTGCCCCACTCAGCATCTTATATGGACTTGGAATTCGTATGCCTGGTAGACGAAAACGATACGAGACTCAATAATACCCAGAGTCTCCGAATATTTACCGACGGGAGCAAAATGGAGGGAAAGGTCGGAGCAGCACTTTCCATTTGGAATAGTGTAGCCGAGATCCGAACTCTAATGCTTAAACTGTCGGACTACTGTACCGTCTACCAGGCTGAATTGCTGGCCATATACAGGGCAACTGAGCGAATTCTCAACAGCGCTGAAGTAAGCTTTGGGGTTTACAGTGACTCTAGATCGGCACTTGAGACCATTGTGAACCTAGACTCCCAGCATCCATTAATAGTAAAGGCCCGCAAAAACATACATACCATCATTGAGCAACAAAAAAGTATCCAACTTTTTTGGATAAAAGCCCATGCGGGTCTGGCAGGGAATGAACGTGCTGACGAATGAGGGCATCCACGACTTTTTCTGCCACCAGGGCGGCGCCACTTTTCAGTGAGGTAAAATATTTGACAGATTTCATAGCGGGGATGATAATTTCTTAGAAAAATGTAATCATTAAGGTTTCTTTCTGTATTATTAGTTATATTTTATATTAATTACATTAGAAATGAATAAACCAAACTATAAAATATAACTAAAAGAAGATCTAAAAAAAAGAATTATAAGGTGCAAAAAATTAAAAATCAAACCACTGACGCATTGTGTTGTGTATTAATATAATACTATAGATAATTATAAACTATTGTTTAAAACTAATTTCTCAATTAACTGACACTGTTTAACAAAAAAACTTTACCTCAGTCACAACTAGCGACATCTGGTGAGTGGAAGATTATTAGCCTTCATTGGCTAAACTCGATGCTCTTAGAATAAAATGTAAACCTAAGAGAAAAGTAAGACCTATGCCCGGTCTCCTACATAAAAAGTGTAATCCGTAAGGACTCTATTGAAAAATGGAATCACAGGTACGTAAAGGGTGAAACGGCTCAAATCACTAAAAAATTCTTCCCAAGTATCAAGGACGCTTACGAAGTGATTAAGGCGACAACACTGTCTCCAATAATGATCCAAGCGATGACCGGACATGGTGGGTTCTCCGAGTATCTGTACCGATTCCGATGCAAGGAGAACCCTTCATGCGTCTGTGAGTCAGGAGTTGAGGAGACAGTGCTGCACGTACTTTTAGATTGTCCCAGGTTCGGCAAACAAAGGTACGATTTTGAGAAGTCGATCGGAGCAAGACTGGAAGAAGAGAAATTATATTTATTATTAGATAGTAAAATTACTCTAAGTAAGTATATTAAATTCTGCGAAGAAATTATTAATGGGGTCGTGAAAATAACCGAAATTAAATTATATTTTTAGTTTTATACAATTTTATATATTTTAAAAAATTATGTAAATAATAATAAAAATAATTAAAAAGGACAATAACAATTAAAAAATATCAATTCAATATATTTATTATTTTATATCAAATGTAATGTTAGTTATAAATGTAGGTATCAAATTAATGTCAATAATTTAGTGTCACCAAAAAATTGCAAATGCAAGATTGCTATTCGGTGCTTCCTTGTGAATATATCAAGTATATTCAGAGAGAACGAACTGATTGTAACATAAAATGAATATGTGAGAATAATGTGGTGATTAATTATTTATTTATTTTAATTTAAATGTATAAATTACAATAAAGTACTTCCAAATTACAGATAGAAAATGACTCTGGTCTCTATGTCAGAGGGCTGCAGATAGAAAAAAAAACAGAGACTAGCCACCTGCGTAGGACAGGATTATAATGCACGACTTTATGCGCAAGCACAAGTGTACTCTCTATTCCCTCGCTCTCGTAGCCCGCTGCGCTGGGACGGTTTTCCGATACAACCGGAGAAAGATCAGGCGCATGACCAACGGATGTACGTGTTTTCTGAGGCACTGAGAATATCTTGAATTTAAAACATAAAGCTGTGTGAGCTTGGTACTTTCCCGGTCGAGCCGACTCTTTCACGCTACTGCCATAATACAGATGAAGCGTCATCATCATCATCATCATCATTACAGCCCTACAAAAGCCCACTGCTAAACATAGGCCTCCCCCAAGGAATGCCACAAAACACGATCCTGAGCTACGTGCATTTATCGACTCCCTGCATGTCTTACAGGTCATCACTCCATCTAATGGAGGGCCCTACATTTTGCCTGCCAGTACGAGGTTGCCATTCAAAATCTTTCTTCACCATCGGTTGTCGGTTCTTCGAGCTATATATGCTGAAACATACGAATTACATAATTAGTTATAATATCACCATCATGGTTATAATCAGCTTGTTAAATATTTACCCCATAATAATTAAAATATATTTATGTAAATTGAATAACTTTAACAAAATATCCGAGAATTCACTGCACCGTAGCTTCCTGATTGTGGCATAAGAGGCGACAGAGGAAAACTGAAACAGAAATAACGCAGGTAATAATAAAATTGTGGTTGCCAACCCGGCCGCCAAGCGGAGTAACTAATAACTATAGCAAATAACACCGCTGAAGCAATCTTTTTCTTTTTCGGAATAAAACAAATTTTATAGATTTTATCGCGTTTAATTATTAATTCCCGACATTTTGGGAATTTTCCAGTACCCTTGGTCACGGGGAGAGGGGGACTGAGGTGTTTGAGTTCCCGATGTCATAGTTAACGAAGGCTACCTTCAACTTTTTATTAATAATTTTTGGTCCGATCTACGCAAAATGGGCTTACAGTATCTTTAAGTCTTGCAGTAGTATGCTTGGGTTTGGATTTAATTTTATTAATTATGGGATCTCAAGCAGATGGTCCAGCCATCTTCTCTATTGAAATTAGGATGTTTTTTGATTTCAATTGCCTCACCAATCATCCGTGGTAGGAATCGGTGTGCTTTTGCGAGGATTTGTGGTCTATCAAATCTGATATAATGGTTGGGACGATCCTGAACATGTTGGCATACTACAGACTTCCCGAAGCTTCTATTCTTCATATAAGCGATATGTTCTTTCACGCGGGTTTCTATGGATCTTATTGTTTGTTCTATGTAAGAGAGACCATATTCACAATCATGCTAGTGCATTCATGAATCTTGTAGAGGAATATTACACTTGACGGATGGTAAGAACTACGAAGAACTAACGCGATAAAATCCGTGAAATTACTTTTTTTTCTTGTTCAATACTGGACATTCATATATAAATTTAATATTAGATTTAATAATCGATAAACGTCAAACGTGTCATGTAACATACTATATTTCAATATAAATTAATAAATTTACTGTAATGAATAAACGCTGAATTGAAATAACAATTATATTTTTAGTAGAGAAATAGGTAATAATTTCATTCCAAATACGTTAAGCTGACTAATTGCGACGCCATAACTTGTTTCCCGGTAAACCAGAAATAAACCGTGAAACCCACTATCGGGTTGTACCTTAACAAACGCTAGGCTCCCAGCTTACAAATAAATCAACTATGTTTTGACCCTTGACCTCCAGGAGCGAGGGGTTCCGGAACCGGTCCCACATTAACGACTACACGATGACACTTTAATTTTGACAACTGCTTGGTAACAGTTAAGAAAACGTCATTTAATATTAACATGTAAAATGGGTCTATGTATAACAGTGTAACAAAAAACATGTGGTGCCCGTTTAGTGCGTTATCAGAATCAGTGTGCACACACATAGAAATATCTTTATTTCTGAAAATTCGACTATGAAAAAATTTAATAATATTTTAATACTTACATTTTAATTTGCAAATTGTATGTGGTTTTATTAACTCTAACACGTGCATCGGTAAAGCAGTGTCTTTGACAAGTGGTAAAATAAAAAATGTTGTATAACCGACTTGAGGACCGAAAATGAGGACATCATCAATGTAATCGAAGTCAATTAATTACGCATTATTGAGGACAACTCATAAACTACTGGTCAGATCTTGATCAAATTTATATGAGAATACATGAAAAGCACCAGCTTTCAAATAAATAAAAGAATCATCAAAATCGGTTCACCTAGAAAAAAGTTCTGACACACAAAAAAATCTGGTACTGACAGACTATCACAACATCACTGACGCAGAACATTCGATCACTTTGTGTGATCGCTTTTCTACATATTAAGCCAGTCCTTGGGGAGGTGGTTATAATTCCTCGACGAATATGTTCTCTACAACACTCTGTCTTTCTGTATGTGTTCGAAAGCCATCCAAAAAGGAAAAAAAAAAGTCGAAATGGGAACTTCCTCCTTTTTTTGAAGTTGGTTGAAAATACAATTTGCTAATAAATATTCTGTTTAATTTCTTTTTATGTGGAGTTTTCTGAAGTAAAGTTATTTCTATACGTTTGAATACTGATCCTGATAACGTACTTAACGGTAACCATAGGGTGTATATTACATGTTTTTTATAGGTAGTAAAAACCTTTTTAGCTAGCTAGCGTTGAGCGATTTTTGGTAGGGAAAAATTAAAAACTTACGGGTTCGCGTCACTGGTGACCTGTGTACATGTATACGCATATACAATTGAGTTTTCACTTCTGCCGGCAGTCCTTATGATTGCCTCTGTTAATAGAATAAAGGTAACAAACGAGCACGCATCTACATCTATCATCAAATATATATAGATAGGTATATCAAAATGCAGATGCGTTGTCACCCCTGAGGACTAAGATGAAATTCGTTTCAAGTAAAAACGGTTTCCGGTTATCTACACTCACCACACGAAACACAGCAGCATTAAGCTGCTATTTTACGCTGGTGTACGGTGAAAGGGCGGTGCTTCCCCGGTCGAGTCAACCTATTTATGCTCAACCATAATATAGCTATAGTGTGGCTATACCACGTAAATTCCTACTGAAGGAGAAAACAGAATCTTTATAGGGAGACTTTTCTGTACGGGCGTCCGTCTGTCAAAATAGTTTTTCTCAGGTACGAGTAGAGATATCAATTTGCAAATAATCTTCTATACATATAATAAAACTGTAAATAGCAGATGTCTGTACATTTTATATTTTTGTAATAAAAGTGATTAAGGGGTACTAAAAATAAGTAATTAAATACATTTCTACCATTTTTAGAATTTTCTGTCTGTCTGTCTGTCTGTCTGTCTGTCTGTTTGTTTGTTAACGTATCACGTATAAAGTACTAATTTATATCATAAGAATTGTTAAGGAAATTATAAAGTGTATCTTCGGGTTACATTTAGTCTTTATTTCATTAAAATCAGTTCATTCCATCAAAAGTTATGATAAATATTCTGAAGTATGGGTAGGGAAGTATAGGTACGAATTTGCTCAACGGTGGCTTTGTTTGAGTCATCAAGTGCATTTTAAACTAATATCATATCATAAATCATAGTTAAATTATGTAAAATAATGATATAATTATGTATATCTAAAACGCAGTAAACAAAAGTAATAAAGAACGTATTAAATATATTATACAAAAATATATTAACCTTATTAACTAAATCTGAAGCATAATAGTTAACCCATTTCTTCGATAGATGGTGGTGTTGTGAAAATGTTATGCAATTGCAAATGTGTTTTTTTCCTGTAGATGAGTTTTCATATTTACTGCTAATCTTTATTATATTACTCGCTGCCCTACTATGTCGAGTACTCTATGTGGTAAATCAAATTTTAAAAGAGCTATTAACAATTGCATTGGTTTTGGCGAGAGTCAAACTTTATTTTTTGCTTACTGTGCAGGCACTGATTTATAAGTTCTCTTACGTTTTATATATATATCTTATGTATCAATCGCGTCAATTAATCTCTTTTATTTTTAGAATTGATGATGTTAGCAGCGCCATATCTCTTTAAATATAAACATATAATAAAAATGATGATAACATGTTGTGTCTCTTTCTGTACATTGTATATATATTTTGGTGGCTAAAATCATCATGGGGAACTGAAAATAATTAAATAAGAACATTTTATAATTTTTAGAATTGTCTGTCTGTCTATTTGTCGCATGAACGCATCACGTCTAAAGTAAACATCTTTTATTTTCAAAGAAATCGTTAAGAATATCATAAAGCGTATCTTCGAGTTACATTTAATCTTTGTTTTATTAAAATTGGTTAATTCTATCGAAAGTAATGATTATTATTTTGAAATGTAGGTTCGAATTTGTTCAATGGTGCCATAAAATCTCAGAAATAGTAATAAAAAGATTTCTGTGTAAAAAAAACGTTCCATAATAATTAATATATTTATACTTAAAACACAAAAAGAGACGAACACGCACAACAACAACGCATTTATTTTCTCACACAAAGGACTTAATAGATGGAGTTGTACAAATTACAAACTTTTCTGAATTGCGGTGTTGAGATTTTTAGCCGATGAATCGTATTGAGACTAACTGAAGAAATTTGTATCCATCGAAGCCATTCAACGCAACCCGACGAAAAATAAAAATTTTGCTAAATTAGAACTGCCATTTTAGCGCTTTGGGAACTAGATTTAGCACTTTTTGGAATGTATAGCGTGCATTTCGAAATTTTAGCACCTAGCGCTTAATCCAGCGCTTTTTGGTGTATTTAGCACACATTTCAATATTTTAGCGACTAGCGGGTTATTAACTCTTTTATAGCAGCACTGTTAGATGTTAGTCCACATTACCGATAATAATAATAATGACCTTTATTATTTTTTCCCACAAATAGTACATTGCAGTTTATCTTTTTCAAACATATTTTTTCCACAAAACAAAGAGCATGGGAGACGAGTCCAAACTAGGATACCCTGTGCTATGGATCTCCTGGCTTCCCCTTTAGGATGATCAACTTGATTTTTTTACCGACGACTATGAGTGGGGAAATCCCCTTTATTAAAGTTTTCGTTCATGGTTTTGGCAACGCATTTATTTTGCTTTATTCAGTTTCAGTCAGTTGCTTAGAGCACAGCTAAAATAAAAGTTACTTAGTAGTTATAACACAAAGAAACTGTGTAGCAACCGCAATCAGATGCTGACATCTGAAACTAAGTTGCGAAATACATTGCACTTTAAAACAATTAATGACATTTTTATTGTTCGTACAATACTAACTACTGTTGACAGCAATTGCTATAATTATAAGTCGATGTCCTGCGAAGTATTGATACATCAAAAAAATATTGCCAGAAAAAAAACTTAATGTTGTTTTCTTTATTATGATTATATAAAAAAACACAAACTTTGTTTGTAGTTAATTTAGCGCGAAAACTAGGGCTTTTTTAAAGCGCTGTTTTCATGAAATCTAGCGCTTTTTGTGTTGTCCTAGAGCTGAATGAGTTTTTTTTTTATCTGGCAGCACTGCCCAAAAACCCTCTATTAAGAAGTAACTTTCCTTTCAGTTTTAAGCGCGTTCAGTTCCCAGTTACAGTGAGTGTGTGTTATGCGATGACCGTAAATAAAGCGCAAGGTCAAACTTTACGCGTTGTAGGAGTGTACCTCAGTACTGACTGTTTTGCACATGGCCAACTCTATGTTACTTTTTCCCGCGTTAGTAGCCCCCTTAACCTTTTTGTGTATACCCCGGCTAAGCCTACTTCTAACGTCGTTTACACAGAAGCTCTATCATAAACGACTTAGAACTTTGATGATAATGATTTATTTTGTTACCACTTATTGATACAGTAATGAAATAAATCGTTTAATATTCTCTTACCTAAACGACAAATTCTTTATGTAAAACCTGTATACGCGAGCTACGCCGCGGGCACAGCTAGTAATATAATATAAGTGCAAAAAAATCAAGTTCAAAGCATTTAAAAATGCGGTCATTTAGGTCATATTATTAAAACTTGCAAACTAATTAACCAAAGACCACAAAATACTTCTCGTTGTTCTGGAATCATGAAATTTATCAAGTAACAAGTTCTTACACAACAAGGGAAAAATTTCGTTAAAAAATTCGATAATGAAAACGCATAAAAACTTTTTTCGCAATTACAAACTTACATAGCAATTCAAGCAGTTTACCGTTTTTTGTCCTGCAAAATTTTTGGTCCTTCAATCCGACTTACCTTTTTGTTACGTAACAAGAATGTTCGGTAAAACTTGCTTTAATAATTTATGAAATTCAGTAAGTATTTTCTTTTGAAAGTAAGTACTTAACTGACTGCTTATGCTGTACCTACCTATATAATGTATTTTTGTATACTACCCCATACCACCCCGTGGGTGTCGTAAGAAGCGACAGAAACAAACAAACTAGGAGATGGGCAGCAGCCTTTCCCTAATAACTATTAAACATTTTAAGTCTGACAAATATACCCGCTATGGAGCAATCTATAGAGGAGGCCTATGTTGAGCAGTGGACTTTGATATATTGTAACGTTGCTTGTAAATTTAAGTTACATTCTATATTAGTTCTTTATCTTTTTGGTACACATTTTACACTTTGTGTCTACTTACAAATTTGGTAAAAACAACTAAGCGGATGACAGGAATGCCATTTCGGCGCCTTTATCCCCGCGCTTTCCCTAGTGATCAATCACCGTTCCGTGTTCCCTCCCGTAGTTCTGATGATGTCTTAGCTGTCATGCGTCTAATTATTTTGATCAAGTAGTACTTAGAGGAGCCAGCTCACCTTGGCTCCTTCTTTCCGAAATGTATCACTGAAATATACCGACCGCCTTCAGTTCTTAGGGTTTGAAATATCCTCAAATTTGAACTTCGGGCGGTTCATTGAGTCCAAGGCCAAAGCAGCTGCAAGGAAGGTGGGAGTCCTTGCAAAGGTGCAGCGATACTTCACGCCGGAACAGCTGCTTACTTTATATAAAGCGCAAGTCCGGTCGGGCATGGAGTATTGCTGCCATAAATGCGCTGGTGCTGCAAAATGCCACCGAGCAGCTTTAGACTCAATAGAAAGGCGTGCTAAGAGGCTTATTGGTGACCCGAATTTTCATTCAGTTCCTCGGGAGGAGCAGCAATTTCTACTATACTATACTATACTATACTATACTATACTATACTATACTATACTATACTATACTATACTATACTATACTTCCCGCGCTCGCGACACTAGGTGATTCAATCACGTTAATCATAAAACAATCACGGTGATTGTTTTATGCGAGTCGGGCACTGTCAGTGAGAATAAAATTTCTAACAATATGAAAACTTCACTTGATTTTTGTAGTTTCCCCATCCCTGGCTTAGTGTATAAATAGCCGTAAACATAGTTAAATCATCAAAATCATCGCTGCAGATGTATCGTTATTATAAATCAAACTATTACGAATCTAAATCAATACTCAAAATAAGAAAATATTAATTTCAATTTATTAATATATTTTAAAATCTTCTGCTCGAATTAGGCATAGAAAAAAATTTTGGCCCATTAATATTTCTAAAAATATTTGTTAAAAATTCCACTATCAGTATTCGCGGCCAGGGCAAATAAAGGGCCAAATTTGTCAGAAAAATAAGTTTGTATATTTAAGTCATGTTAGTGGATGGATGCAGGTGGCTCTGGATCGTGCTTTTTGGCATTCTTTCGGAAATGCCTACGTTTAGGACTTGTGAAGGGCTGTAATTAAAGTAATGATGGTTAACTTTGAATTAATTACTGAGACGATATTACTTCGCTGAGCTTGCATCACTCACCTTCGATTTGCCGACATAGCCCAACGGATTAGTAAGCTGAAGTGGCAATGGGCCGGCCATATAGCTCGAAGAACCGACAACCGATGGGGAAGAAAGGTTCTCGAGTGGCAGCCTCGTACCGGCAGGCGAAGTGTAGGGCGTCCCCCCACTAGATGGAGTGACGACCTGGTAAGATATGCAGGAAGTCGATGGATGCAGGTGGCTCAGGACCGTGCTTTGTGGCATTCTTTGGGGGAGGCCTATGTTCAGCAGTGGACTTGTGAAGGGCTGTAATGATGATGATGATGAGCTTGCATTGTGTGCGATAGTGTTCTATCTACTCCCGATTTTCAGTATGAAAATATTTATATCTGTTATTGAGAACTCATAAAGGGTCTCCTATAGGATAATTACTTTCTAATCTGCTTTTTTTATTATATAATAAGAGTAACAAACGAGCATCACACATATCTTATTATATATAGTTTCGGGGATATAACGCCACCCTGTCTTACACCTCTCTGCAGTTGGATAGGTTTGGTACTCTGGTTCTGTACTCGGATAGCCATCGCAGCTCTACTGTACAATCACTTCAGCACTTCGATATACTGACAGTCAACTTGGCATCGCTGAAGGGACTGCAGCACCGCCCAAATTTCGACGGAATCAAAGGCTTTCTCATAGTCCTCATACGCCAGACATAGTGGCAAATTGTACTCCTCGGACTTCTGTACAATTTGCCGAAGGGTATGTATGTGGTCTATGGTGCTAAAGCTCTTTCGGAAACCGGCTTGTTCGGGAGACTGGAAGTCGTCAAGCCTGCGTGCGAGACGATTCGTAATGACTCTCGAAAACAGCACGTAGACGCGGCTCAGAAGGGAAATCGGTCTGTAGTTCTTCAAGAGAGATGATGGTTAGACACATTTATCCTTTATTATTATTAACATATATAAAAATGGCCCTCAGTCCCCGGCAGACCTTAGATGGTCATAGGGTGCGAAGAATCTCCGGGTCAGCCATGACGATTGCTACGTGGAACGTCAAGAGTATGTACCGCACATATAAAATGGTGAATATAGAACGGGAGATGCTAAGACTTAAGATAAATATCCTTGGAGTGAGCGAGTCTAGTCACCAGTAGTATATTATAGCGGTAATAATGATAAAAATCACTACAACAGTGTGGCCGTCATCATCAGCAGACATTTGCATCATCAGATCCACAGTTTCCTGCCAATATCGGACAGAGTTTTAGTTTTAGAGTGAAAAGCAAAACCCATAAATATTCAAATAGTCCAGGTGTATGCACCTACTACCGATGCTACTGATGAGGATAATGAACTCTTTTATGAACAATTAGAAACCGCCCTTAAACATCTTAATCCACATAACATTATCCTCGTCCAAGGTGATTTTAATGCAAAAATCGGGGAGGGCAAAGTCTCGGACATCGTTGGTTCATTCGGACTGGGAAAAAGAAACGATCGCGGTGACCGCCTTTTACAATTCTGTGAAGAACACGGGCTTATAATTTCAAACACCCACTTTAAGCAACCTCCAAGAAGATTGTATACGTGGAAGTCACCATTACATTCGCTGAAGAAGATCGTCCGTAATCAAATAGATTACATACTTATAAACAGAAGATATCGCAACAGTTTAACATCAGTCAAAACCTACCCAGGCGCCGATATTGGTTCTGATCACAATCCGGTTGTTGCATCCCTCCGCTGTAATATGAAAATTCTAAAACCTAAATAAAAAAGACAACAAATGGATGTGACTAGACTTAAAGAACCGGAAATACGGCTTAAAGCAGCCACGGAAATAAATATGGCTGTTGACCGCTTGAACAAAGAGCTTAGTCCAAATGTTGACGTAGAAGAGACATGGACTAAATTAAAGGAAAATGTTGTTGATATTGGTAAAAGAATCCTCCAACCATTAAATCATGAAACAGAAAACCGCTGGATCACGCAGGAGATCCTAGACTTAATAGAACAGCGTAGAACATACAAAGGAGTAGACGTTCAACAATACAAAACCATACACAAGATAATCCAAAGAAAAGTAGTTGAAGCAGAAGAAAAATGGATGGTCGACTAATGTATTGCGATAGAAGAGTTTGAGGCCAGATATGATTCTTTTAATGTGCATAAGAAAATCAGAGAAATAACTGGTGCTGTTAAAACACGAAACATGAACTGCAACGTATTGCTGGATGATCAGGGAAATCCTGCCAAAACAATTGAAGATAAACTTAATGTTTGGCAGAAATACATAACAACACTATTCCATGACTTTAGACCTGCTCTGGAACCAAGTTCATGTGGAAGTAAATTGACTGGACCACCTATTAATAAAAGCGAAATTGCTTATGCCATTAACATGTCCAAATCAGGGAAATCTGTAGGCGGAGATGAATTACTCGTGGAACTGTTTAATAAACCATCAGGTGGACTATGTGCTCGTTTATCACCCTATCCTATATAAAAAAAAGATAACACAGTGAGTTTATATTACATTGTCATTTAATTCTGTACTAATACTTATGTTAGCTATTTCCAGCTAATGATTAGATTCATCATTTTCGTAAAGTTAACTCTCCATGAGACATTAGATAATGTTTATAATATATGGGTTTGCTCCTGTAATGTATGGATTATTTATAAAAGAAATATTACGTATGCTCTGTGTTAGAGAAACTTGCATCCCTTTTCGTCTCGTGAGTTTCGTAAGAGATGACAATAGGAATGTTCAAAACTTTAAATAAAAAGAAAAAGCCGACTTCTACTAAACTAGAAATATTTTTTGAGGGCTCCGTGGCGCAGCAAGGAGTTGCAGCGCAGGGGGCTGCGGGTTCGAATCACGCACGGAACAAGTATTTGTATGGCCTGCAAATAATTGTTCCGGGTCTGAATGTTTGTGCTTGTGTAATTTATGTTTGTAAACTACCTCCACGGTACAGGAGAAAATCCTAGTGTGAGGGTAAAGTTTTTTTTAAAAGAAAGAAAATAAATTCCACACAATAGCTTCAGAAGTCAGGGAAGCTGTTGTGTATAGGAGAATTATATTCGCAAATAGTCACGATTATCGTTAATTATTCTTACTACATAATGGGAGAGGTCTATGGGAGTATTATGGGGTGATAAAAAAAACAAAGATTAAGTTTTTGATTGAATATTCTGCTGTATTAAATAAGCCAGAAATGAAGTAACAACTTGTACCATTACTAAATTAAATAGCAGATAACGTGTTTGATCGTCAATGATCCCTAAAATTCGCAGTAAGCAATTTTGCACTACATGAATAACAGTAGAAATGCATCAACTTTTTTACCCAAGTAATTTCCCATTCGAACCTCACGCCGTTACTTGAACGTAACATGAAATACAAGCTCAACTTAGAAGACAATCGCTTCAATCAGTTCTAACGTATTGCATTTGGCCCTTAGCGTTTACAACTGACGTGTAAGCCCCAAGAGTTCCCATACTGGGCACGTATTGTTGACGCAAGTAAATCAACATTAACATGTATGAAAAAAGAAACTAGTTCCTCGTGAAAAAAAATTCAAGAAGGGCGAAACCCATTGTGGCGCCTTCGGTTTTCGCACACGGAAGTTCCCGTTTCAACAAGCTACATTTGAAGGTAACAATAGCATGACAATGGTTGCACTGACAATAGAATAAGAACGAGAGCAGCTTATTGTCTGTGACGCAGCTGATCTCGAAGAAGATTGCTTATTTTATTCTTAATGCAGTTTTAAAAGTAATAAATAACGACATTGATGCTTTTCCGATCTCCCACCGGACTTGTCGCTCCAATTTCGAATGAATTACGTCGACAGTTACACAATTGACACGCCGTTATAAAATTTGACGAGAGTGATTGACACGTGTTTAAAAAAATAAATGCCAAACAGATAAATGTCCCATCGTTGTGTCGCGTGCCATTCCTTATTCTACACCTAGGTTGTTTACAGTGTTCTAGGCATGTTAGTATTTTAATAATTGCATTAGCCGTTGGCAGATGTTGTGGGCATCGGACACGAGTCGGTTATGACCTTTCGTAAATATCACTTTTTTCTTCTTTTAATTATGCTATTAATTTCTCGTAGGACAGCTTTGTTGGCCTTTTTCTGGTGGCCGTAATCGCAAACGCTTCTTGTGACCCCGGGTGCGTCACGCCCCAAGTACGGCTGAACATTAAATTTATCGGACACATGGTTTTTATTTATGTCCGATGAAGCTCTGAAAGCCTGACTAACAGCACTAACATTGTATAAAATTTCTGTCGTGACCGAAATTCGGTTTACGCGGTAGAGCCATTACTGGTATAGTTGCAGCACGAATGGGTCAGCTCGACGGGAGTAGGGCCACGCTCTCACAGAATATCAGCGTAAAATAGCAGCTTAACACTGCTGTTTCATATGGTGAGTGTAGAGAACCGGAGACTCTTTTTATTGGAAAAGAGGCATTCCATCTTAGTCCTCACGGGTGACAACGCATCTACATTTGCAAGCAGTTGCAAATGAAAACATTTGCAACTGCTAGCAGATTATCTCTATTTACAGTCTTAAAAAAAGGAAGAGGTTTAAATTCGACATTATGTTTTTGAAAGTTTGTTACGTGATATCATTGTCAATTTTGAACCGGTTTTGATGATTCTTTTTTAAATAGGTTATAAATACTATAGTGTTCAGTGGTGGTACCATATGTTATAGTAATTTCGAAACAAAATTCCATCCCCGAGGGTTCAACAACAGGGAATGAAGTTTTAAATGCAACTATATAAAAGGAATTAAGATTGTAATATTCATTAATCCACTCGAAAGGGTAAAATGAAATAACTTTTAATAAAAACTAAATGCCGACTTCAAAGAACTAAAAAGAATAAAATAAGTTCACATTCTCAACTCGAATAAAATAATTTCACATACTGAACATGAATAAAATAATTTCACATTCTCAACACGAATAAAATAATTTCACATTCGTAACAAGAATAATATAATTTCAAATTCTCAACATGAATAAAATATTTTCACATTCTTAAAAAGAATAAAAAATCACATTCTGAACACGAATAAAATATTTTCACATTCTAAACAACAATAAAATGTGAAATTATTTTATTGTTGTTTAGAATGTGAAAATATTTTATTCGTGTTCAGAATGTGATTCTTAACAAGAATAAAAAAAAATCATATTCTGAACACGAATAAAATATTTTCACATTCTGAACATGAATAAAATATTTACACATTCTGAACACGAATAAAGTAATTTCAAATTCTCAACACGAATAAAATAATTTCACATTGTGAAAAAGAATAAAATAATTTTACATTCTTAACAAGAATAAAATAATTTCACATTCTTAAAAAGAATAAAATAATTTCACATTCTCAACACGAATAAAATAATTTCACATACTGAACACGAATAAAATAATTTCACATTCTTAACAAGAATAAAATAATTTCACATTCTTAACAAGAATGAAATAATTTCACATTCTGAACACGAATAAAATTATTTCACATTCTGAACACGAATAAAACAATTTTAGCCTATTAAAGTCCACTGCTGAACATAGGCCTCCCTTGATTGCCTCATAGAGGGGATATTTGCCATACTTGCCACGCCTGGCAAGCGGATTGGCAACCGCAGTTTTTTTAGTCGTTATTCGGAACACGCTGCTGCCCATCTCCTGATTTGTCCCCTCTGTCGCCTCTTACGACACCCACGGGACGATATGGGGTAGTGGATATTCTTACACCGACACTACACGGCTTTTTAATAAAAGTAAATTTCTCAAGACTTGCAATGTAACAGTGTTCATAATATTTAATCAAAGTATAATATATAAATAGTATTAGCTAATTTTAAGATTTTTCGAGATTTTTACTGGCATCATTTAAAAAAGATAAGGACTTTCTTTCGAAAAATGTCACCCTAAAACGCGATCAAAAAACACAACATTATTTAATCTTTTTAATTACCCATAACCATTATCGCTTGGTACGAACATGATGTACTTCAATAACTATGCAAATGTTTACAAATTATTGTCTCAACGAAGTAATTTGCATGTCATTTTAAATCATACACAATAAAACACAATATTTATCAAGACGTAGTGACTATATTCGATTGTCTAAATTGATACATTAATTCAAAAGGCCTTTTATATGTTTATATTGTTAGGGCGTTACTTAAAATTAAAGCAGCATATAGTTAAAAGATTTTTAGTCCGAATACATAACTGTCACATTAAATCAGTTTGAATAAAATATATCGAAGCATCACCCCTATCTTAACTGTTGGATAATAATTCAGTTTCCTTAGGGTTCCTCTGCAAATAAAAAACGTGGGTAAGAGATGGTCCCTGGAGAGAGGCGCAAAAAAAAAAAAATAAACTATTGTTCCTATGAAACTAATATCTGGTTTAAGGTTGATTTAGATTTTATCTATATCTATTAAAAATAAATAAAATTGAAGTGTCTGTTTGTAATGTCAAAATAACAGATTTTAACTAAATGCATATGAAAGTATATAACGTACTTATAACAAAAACCCAATTTTTAAATTTTTTGTCTGTCTTTCTATCTGTCTGTTTGTTCCGGCTAATCTCCGAAACGGCTGGACCGATTTTGACAGGACTTTCACTAACAGATAGCTAATGTCATAAGGAGTAACTACTAGTGCTACTAGCGGAACTTAAATCCTTTTCTAAAATAAAAGTAGCTCCCTAATTCC